ATGACGGCGAGCTCCTTCTCTCCGGTGAGGTCCTCCCTTCTTCCTTCTCCTTCATTCAAAAATCGATTGACCCTGAAGTCGAAAGTCAGTCGATTGATATGTAGCTAAATTGGCTTTTTTTACTTTTGATTTTTAGCAACTGAAGTGTGTCGTGATATGAGCACTGTGATTTTTAGGCATCAAATCGGACTCCCTAGGATGCTCCTGGAATGTGTCTAGGTACTGCTGGGTTAAGTACAGTATGATGTGTGTTTGAATGTCACGAAGAGATACCCGCAAAAAAAAAATGTCACGAAGAGATGCATGCCATGCCGTGCTAGGGGGGAGTGGGGCGGTAAATAAAATATGAATGAACAGGTCAAAACAGCGGGCATTGGTAGATAAGATGTGCCAGCTCAAGTTTCTGGTCACATGTGGACGGTGCATATTTTCCATCTAGTGCCAACGTTGACCTCAGCTCAGATCCACAGGTTTTCTATCACCCACACTTTTCCAACTTCAGACGCCATACTATACGCTGGTTGATTTCCGCGCCTCTGAATCGAGGCAAACAGTTTTCTAATCTTTCTCTGGATCAAGGCAAACAGTTTTCTAATCTTTCTCTGGATCAAGGCTAACAGTTTTTTAATCTTTCGTCTTCATGTTTGTTTTCTGTAACCCGGCCGGTCTGCTGCTGAAGCTGGGCCAAAAGACAAAGACAGGCCGGTGCCTGCAACTAAAACAGGGGTGATCTGGGCTGGGCGCTTGTGTTGCTTATATGGGCTGGAGAATAGGAGCCCAAATGGTGGATTAAACCCTATTGTTTTGATCACACGGTATCATTTCTGACAGTACCCAACAACACAAAAACATTCAATTCCAAGTTGTCGTAAAGTTGCATCTATAGAATGTGGGGAACAAAAGGAGTGGAACACACTGCTGACCAGAATTTTATCCCCATTTAATCTTTCAGGCCGCAGCCTATACTTTCCCTACATTTTCCTGTTACAAGCTGCAATGGCTTCAAAAGAAGCAGAGGAGAAGCTACAAACTGCAGCAAACTCCTTACATCTCAAGGTTACTAGTGCTCAATAGTATGTGAAGTTAACCCACTTCTTTGGTGGGAGAAATGCATGTTCGACGAGTGAGGGTGCCTCGAGTCGACCACCGCTGCAAAATAAAGCCTGCATACCCATTCAAGATAAAGGATCGATATTAGAGCAGTATCTTCGGAATAATGCATTTTTTAGTGCTATACTTGTGAAAATAGCAAATGTTTGCTTACAGTGGTTACCGTCTTACTGATCCATGCCGTCAAGCTTCTGTCTATACTTGGCCAAACTCTGCAGTCAAAATTTGATTTCTTCAGATTCAAATTATGGAACATTTAAAAAGCTAGCATGTTCATCTATACAAATTAAATAACAAATACTGGTGATTTCAAGTATTGATCTGCACACATATAAGAAAAATGATGAATCCCACTTCACCTCAAAAACTACGCTTGCTGTTTTATAGTTTTGCTTGGAGTAAAAGAAAAGATGCCGTTAGTTGCTTTAGCTTCTGATTATAGTTGTGCATATAGTAGTAAGCTTTAAATGTCAGATGATGGTCAAGATATGTTACTGAACATGAAATCAGCATTTTGTTGCACCCAATTCATTGCAGTTAGAAAATAGAGAAGACTCTTACCTTTGTATAAGCATAGACGCCTGCCTCAGAAGGTCCTGCGGGACTACCCCGCCTGATAAATTTCCCTTCCTTAAATATATACAGCATAGGAATGCCGGTCGACAACTCAAGGCTTATTACCTAAGGAAGGCGTCTTAATGCATTAGTATCTACAGTATCTCACTAAAACATGGCTGATTGGAAAGCGTAAATAAACTAGATACAAAGTAATATCACCTCTTGAGAAGTCAACTTGTCCAGATGCATTATAATTGAACGGAGTGAATTCCCATGGGCAGCAATCATAACATGCTTTCCAGACACAAGCTGAGGTATAATCTGCAGGTCAAAATATATGATGGTTGCAATCCTCTAAAATATGTTACAAACTGGGAACGGCAAATCAAAGCTGAATGCAGACTGCTGATTTTATATCACGTTAGGTGATAACAGATGACAGAAAAGCAGAAACTGATATGTATTCAAAGCCAAGAGACAAGCTAAACCATCTCCAACCAAAGATCCAACTAAATTAACAGCACTGAAACATATCCTTACTTGCTCTTTGAAATAAGAAACTGCTCTCTCTGCACACATCTCTAGGCTCTCTCCATTTGGGGGAGGAATGTCATAACTACGACGCCATTCATGAACTTGCTCTTTGCCAAACAGATCAGCCGTTTCTTGCTTGTTAAGACCTTGCAGTTCACCATACCTTTGAGACACAGCATTAGTTTATATCTTATATGCAGAATTAGAAATCTAATTATGAAACAACCATTATAAGATATTAGCGAACCCTTACATTCGTTCATTCAACTGCCAAGCTGTTATTACAGGAATGGACTGCTTCTTTGTCTCCTCGCTGTATACCTGACTCCACTGGTGTGCCCGTTCGCTCTCCTTGTGCACAATAATTGGAACCTGGTATTATTATCACAGACATGAAGACCTCTAAATATAATACTAATTGATTCAAAATATCCAGATACAGAATGCTTCCACTACAAATCAGATAGAGAAAAAAAGAAGGTAGAGAACCTTCTTACGACGATGCTGCATCATGGCAAGCATGGCGGTCATCTGAGCACGGATTAGTGATGAGGTGTATATAACATCAACTGGGATATTGCATATCCTTTTACCCGCCTCGATCGCCTCATTGACACCCTTGGGGGTCAGGGGCACATCGACGCAGCCAGTAAACAGATTTTTCTCGTTCCACAATGATTCCCCGTGCCGAATCAATATCAGTGCAGCCTCACCTAAAAGCACATGAAGAATTGATATTATAGCAGGCAAAACAGAGCGTACCGCTGCATAGCCAGAACTTAAGAAGATTACTTGATTTTTTGGGATTGCTGCCGCTTTCGGGGCTGGACGGTAGCTTAGCCGGCTCAATCACCGAAGATTGCGAATTCGACGCGCAGACCAAGCCCAGTTTCCGGCTGCCGGGGCAGCAGCTCGTTGCTGAAACAAAGCGCACACTGCCGGCCCTCCTGTCGGGGCCGAAGCTGGCGGAAGCGCACCGAGGTTTGACGGAGATGAGCGCCTGCTGAGACGTGCACGCGGCCATTCTGCTCCGCACCAGGACAACAGAACACCAAGGTTAGTAAGCCCTCACATGGTCGATTGAGCAATCAGTACACGCATCGAATCAAAATAAGCAAGCAAAAGAGATCAAGGAAGAGCAACAGGGAGCGAAATCGCGCTCCATTGCGTTCCGAGCTGCGAGCCGCGCCGCGAATCGCATCCACGCGGAAGGGGGGAAGGTAGCGGGGGGAGGGGCGACACGGCACGTACATGGGCGGGGCGGGGCGGGGCGGGAGAAGAGCGCCTCGGCCTCGGGGAGCTCGAGCCGGGAGCGGAGGGCCGCGTTTTATAGGCGCGGACGTCCCGACGGGTCGGGGAAACCGAGCGCGGCTTCCTCGGCGAGATCTGCGGCGGCGGCGGGTCGCGGTCGCGGAGATCGCCGGGGGGCTGGCGGCGACGAAACCAAGGAACGGACAAGACAACGGGATGGAAAGACTATTTTTTTGTTCGGACCGTTCTCTTTTCGGGGCCGTTCTTGTGCAGGTGTGGTTGCGGCGCGGTTGGTTCGGCTGTGCGTGGGTCGGAGGCAGGTTTTATAAACGGCGACCGGGCTTGGTTGGTCCAAGCAGACGACCGTGACAGGGGTTGGTACCGGTCTTAGCAATTTTAGCCGCTTGTGAGCACACGCAAATGTGCGTAAATTCATGCGATTGCTTTTATAAACTTTTTTTGGGGAGGTGATTGCTCTTATAAACTTGCCAACATAACGTAGCTTACAGCATCTACAGCCGTCCCACAAACGCTCGCGGATGCACCTGCAGGCACCGACCGGACACCCCCTTAAATAATGTAATCCACATCCGGACACCTCTATTATCATATCTCAAATCCAACAAACTCTAAAAATTCAAAAAAAAATCCAACAAACTCATAGAAACTCGTACAACTACGTCGATGCACATACATCGTTCGGCTACTCCATCACTACTAACTAAACATGCCATCAGACTACCCAAATTTGGCATGTCTCGTTATGGGGGAGTTCATCCACGGCTGGTCATGCCCTTCCCAGCGTCCTTGTCGTCCTTCTCGCGGAAGTACCGATCGAAGACGTAGTACGGATCAGGTCGGATCTGCTCGTCGCCGGAGTTGTCCTCGCCGTCACTGTCCGCCTTCTCCTCCTTCGGTGGCAGTCCGGCCATCGCACCGACGGCCCCATTCTGCTCTCGGGCGAGGGCACACGTGTTAATCCGTTGTCGTTTCTTCGCAATGTAGACGCGGATGGCTTCCTCTTATGCGGCCGCCCGCGCCGTCGCCATTTCCGCCGCGATACGGACCTTGGCGGCCCTTATCCTTTCTTCCCACGGCGGCCCGCCCGGTCCCGATGGGACTCATAATCTGCCCGACCGGTGAGATTCCGGCTACTAGGACCGCGAGGATCCAGCCCCAGAGGACCCAAGCGTCCGGTGAGCCGAAGCTATGGAGTCGCGGCGGACAGATCCGTCCATCGGTCGATCGTTGTCCTCCCAGGAGCGGCGGAGTGCAATGCGGACGACCATTGTCTTCTCCAACCCGCACGGGATGACACCCTTGTTGGAAATATGCCCTAGAGGCAATAATAAAAGCATTATTATTATATTTCCTTGTTCATGATAATTATCTTTATTCATGCTATAATTGTGTTATCCGGAAATCGTAATACATGTGTGAATAACAGACACCAACGTGTCCCTAGTGAGCCTCTAGTTGACTAGCTCGTTGATCAACAGATAGTCATGGTTTCCTGACTATGGACACTGGATGTCATTGATAACGAGATCACATCATTAGGAGAATGATGTGATGGACAAGACCCAATCCTAAACATAGCACAAGATCGTATAGTTCGTTTGCTAGAGTTTTCCAATGTCAAGTATCTTTTCCTTAGACCATGAGATCATGTAACTCCCGGATACCGTAGGAGTGCTTTGGGTATGCCAAACGTCACAACGTAACTGGGTGACTATAAAGGTAGACTACGGGTATCTCCGAAAGTGTCTGTTGGGTGACATGGATCAAGACTGGGATTTGTCACTCCGTATGACGGAGAGGTATCACTGGGCCCACTCGGTAATGCATCATCATAATGAGCTCAGAGTGACCAAGTGTCTGATCACGGGATCATGCATTACGGTACGAGTAAAGTGACTTGCCGGTAACGAGATTGAACGAGGTATTGGGATACCGACGATCGAATCTCGGGCAAGTAACATATCGATAGACAAAGGGAATAGCGTACGGGGTTGATTGAATCCTCGACATCGTGGTTCATCCGATGAGATCATCGTGGAGCATGTGGGAGCCAACATGGGTATCCAGATCCCGCTGTTGGTTATTGACCGGAGAGTCGTCTCGGTCATGTCTGCTTGTCTCTCGAACCCGTAGGGTCTACACACTTAAGGTTCAGTTACGCTAGGGTTGTAGGGATATGTATATGCAGTAACCCGAATGTTGTTTGGAGTCCCGGATGAGATCCCGGACGTCACGAGGAGTTCCGGAATGGTCCGGAGGTAAAGATTTATATATGGGAAGTCCTGTTTCGGGCATCGGGACAAGTTTCGGGGTTATCGGTATTGTACCGGGACCACCGGAAGGGTCCCGGGGGTCCACCGGGTGGGTCCACCTGTCCCGGGGGGCCACATGGGCTGTAAGGGGGTGCGCCTTGGCCTAATGGGCCAAGGGCACCAGCCCCACATAGGCCCATGCGCCTAGGGTTTAAGGGGGCAAGAGTCCTAGGAGGGTAAGGCACCTCCTAGGTGCCTTGGGGGGGGAGGGAAACCTCCCCTTGGCCGCCGGCCATAGGAGATTGGATCTCCTAGGCTGCGCACCACCCCCCCTTGGCACCCCTATATATAGTGGGGGAGAGGAGGGACTTCATACCTGAACGCCTCGGCCTTTGGTTGCCTCCTTCTCCCTCCCCAACACCTCCTCAACCTCCATAGTGCTTAGCGAAGCTCTGCCGGAGTACTGCAGCTCCATCAACACCACGCCGTCGTGCTGCTGCTGGTGCCATCTCCCTCAACCTCTCCTCCCTCCCTTGCTGGATCAAGAAGGAGGAGACGTGGCTGTTCCGTACGTGTGTTGAACGCAGAGGTGCCGTCCGTTCGGCGCTGGTCATCGGTGATTTGGATCACGTCGAGTACGACTACATCATCACCGTTCTTTTGAACGCTTCCGCTCGCGATCTACAAAGGTATGTAGATGCATCTAATCACTCGTTGCTAGATGAACTCCTAGATGATCTTGGTGAAACGAGTAGGAAAATTTTTGTTTTCTGCAACGTTCCCCAACAAAAGCAGGGGCTGCGGAATAAGCGGAAACTGGCAAAGGACGAGGTGACGATGCGCGTCGGGAATGGTTCCAAGGTCAATGTGATCGCCGTCGGCATGCTACCTCTGCATCTCCCTTCGGGATTAGTTTTAAACCTTAATAATTGTTATTTAGTGCCAGCTTTGAGCATGAACATTGTATCGGGATCTCGTTTAATTCGAGATGGCTACTCTTTTAAATCTGAGAATAATGGTTGTTCCATTTTTATGAGAGATATGTTTTATGGTCATGCTCCTATGGTGAATGGTTTATTCTTTATGAATCTCGAACGTGATGCTACACATGTTCATAATGTGAGTACCAAAAGAAGTAAGGTTGATAATGATAGTCCCACATACTTGTGGCACTTCCGCCTTGGTCACATAGGTGTCAAACGCATGAAGAAGCTCCATGCTGATGGACTTTTAGAGTCTCTTGATTATGAATCATTTGACACGTGCGAACCATGCCTTATGGGTAAAATGACCAAGACTCCGTTCTCAGGAACAATGGAGCGAGCAACCGACTTATTGGAAATCATACATACTGATGTGTGCGGTCCAATGAGTGTTGAGGCTCGCGGTGGCTATCGTTATGTTCTCACCCTCACTGATGATTTAAGTAGGTATGGGTATATCTACTTAATGAAACACAAGTCTGAAACCTTTGAAAAGTTCAAGGAATTTCAGAGTGAGGTTGAAAATCAACGTGACAGGAAAATCAAGTTTCTACGATCAGATCGTGGAGGAGAATACTTGAGTCACGAGTTTGGGGCACACTTAAGAAAATGTGGAATAGTTTCACAACTCATGCCGCCTGGAACACCTCAGCGTAATGGTGTGTCCGAACGTCGTAATCGCACTCTGTTAGATATGGTGCGATCTATGATGTCTCTTACCGATTTACCGCTTTCTTTTTGGGGCTATGCTTTAGAGACTGCCGCATTCACTTTAAATAGGGCTCCGTCGAAATCCGTTGAGACGACACCGTATGAATTATGGTTTGGGAAGAAACCTAAGCTGTCGTTTCTAAAAGTTTGGGGATGCGATGCTTATGTCAAGAAACTTCAACTTGAAAAGCTCGAACCCAAGTTGGAAAAATGCGTCTTCATAGGATACCCAAAAGAAACTATTGGGTACACCTTCTACCTCAGATCCGAAGGCAAGATCTTTGTTGCCAAGAATGGGTCCTTTCTGGAGAAAGAGTTTCTCTCGAAAGAAGTAAGTGGGAGGAAAGTAGAGCTTGATGAAGTATTACCTCTTGAACCGGAAAATGGCGCAACTCAAGAAAATGTTCCTGAGGTGCCTGCACCGACTAGAGAGGAAGTTAATGACAATGATCAAGATACTTCTGATCAAGCCCCTACTGAAATTCGAAGGTCCACAAGGACACGTTCCGCACCAGAGTGGTACGGCAACCCTGTCTTGGAAATCATGCTGTTAGACAAAGGTGAACCTTCGAACTATGAAGAAGCGATGGCGGGCCCGGATTCCGACAAATGGCTAGAAGCCATGAAATCCGAGATAGGATCCATGTATGAAAACAAAGTATGGACTTTGACTGACTTTCCCATTGAGCGGCGAGCCATAGAAAATAAATGGATCTTTAAGAGGAAGACAGACGCGGATGGTAATGTGACCATCTATAAAGCTCGGCTTGTCGCTAAGGGTTATCGACAAGTTCAAGGGGTTGACT